GGCCCCGCTCGGGGCAGGGCTCGTCGGCTGCCGTCTTTGGAAAGCATTTGGCGTCCTCTGGGACTCCCACATCTGGAGTTCTTCTCTCGCACTTCTGGCAAGAGCTGCTTGGTTTCGTGTTTTGCTGGGTAGTTTATTTCCATTTTTTTAAAAAAATCGACGTTCGGGAAGGTAGTGCCCTTCTCCTGGAGCTCCTGCTCAGGGGCTGCCCCATCCAGCACCTCCTGGGGTACCTTCCTCCTTGCAGTCCTTGCACCTTTCCCTTTTCCATCTCTTCCTTCAGGATTTGAGGTCTGTGGGCTCCTTGCTGGCTGTTCCCCTGGGTTGCTCCTGATGAGATTTCCCCTTGGGCTCTGGCAGCTGTGGCCTGCCACCCCTCTTCCCTCAGTGCTGTCGGTCCAGAACAGTGGTGCAGAGGTGCCCCTGCCTCCTCCCCTGCACCAAGTGCAGCCTGGTGAGGTCTGGGTGACCAGGCACAGAGTTCTTTGGGGACCTCCATATCCCAGACATCTCCCCACTCTTTAAGCTGGAGCTATAACGAATGTGGGCTCCACCTCCATTTTTAGGTCTTGGATAAGTTTCTCAGGTCCTTCATCAACCTGAGAAACTAGGACCTTGCAAGCCTTGCTTCTGCTTCCTGAATGTCAGCAGTGGCAGCTCTCTAAGAACCCCATGAAGATGACTGCTAGAGAGTGCCCCCACTTCTTGTGCCCTGCACGCCTTCTCCCGGATCTCAACATCTGTGGAAACACCAGGGATTTGCGTGAATGTGACTGGACTTCCTTGTGCTAATCCCTGTGTCAGCAGTTCACCACCTAAGGAAGGACTCCAAACACTGCTCCTGCCCCTGCTTCCTGGGTCTGGTCCCCTGGTCCTGCCCTTTGTCCCCAGACCCTCCTGACAGTGCACACAGGGCCATCCCTTGCCCAACGGTGTTTGCTGTGACATGTGGCCCCCAAGGGTAGTGGCAGGGGTGTCGCATAGGCCCGCTGCCATGTCCCCCTGCACTCTCCAAGGTGCTGTCCGGGCCCTTGAGCGAGGAGGGGGTGCAGGGACCCAGGTCCCCAGCCAGTGGTTCCTCCACATGAGTTCACATTGGCCCTGGTTTGTTTTTTAGTATCCCTTTTAGGAAACAAACTTGTTTTGAGCCAGGCTGGATTCGCTTATAGCAGTTGGAAGGGAATTGGAGGCAGTGTATTGGCCATCTAGTTTCAAACCTCTGCTTCTCAGTCTTCTCCTCCTTTAGGGCCTCCTTGATGTCTTTACTCTGGTTTGCCTGGGGGGTGGGGGGTGTACAGCTGTTGCATTCAGTCCTGTAGAAAAGGAAATCCGTCACCCAGGAAGGTGAATGACTATCCATGAGCTCCAGGTGACACCGATGGCTGCAGTAATAGCCTTTCTGGTGCCAGAGAGTGACAAGGTAGTGTTTCTCAGCCTCCCGTTCTCCAAATATCTCACACAACGGGTCCAGGATTGTAGCACTCATTAGCTGGGCAGAGTTTGGGAAGGCCCAGTGTCTACCTAAGAGATTGGTGCACCAAAAGCACATGATTGGGTGTGTGTGTACTCGCTGTTTGTGGGGGAACGTTATTCCTTCCTCTCGCTCCATCTCACCTCTCCTCATTAAAGCCCTTGTGCTAGATGTGGAAGTACTGAGCCATGCTTTCATGCTAGCTGGATGCAGCACTGTCTCCACTCCTGAGCATGCCAGCTGCAGGTGGAGGAGAGAACTCCTGTCCCAGCTATATGGCACAGGTGCTTTTATGACATTACTGTTCTGAGCAGTCTTTTTCAGGCAGGCTTTAGAGAAGCGGTGTGAATCCCAAACTCTGCAGTAAAGGGACAGACAGAGCACAGCCTGGGGAAGACAAACGTAGTGACTCTAGGGTGAGGCTCAGAGACAGGACTGTGGCTTCCAGTCCTCCACCCCACCTTTGGAGGGAGTTCCCTGCCAGCCCAAGACATGCCAGAGCTGAACCAGAGATTTGACACCTTGATGTGCGTAACAATAACGGATCTGGAGAGCGTATGTGGGGCAAGATGTCACTCTTTCTGACAATAGCTTATCGAAGGAGCTTCCTTCAGAAACTTCTAGCTAGATGGGAATTAAACCAAGCAAAGTACTACCTCGTGATGCAAAGGGTGACCTCATGAAATGTGGTGGAAGAACTCCAACTTCCATCCTTCTTTATCGCTGCTGGCCACCTAAGGTTTTGTAATGATTAGGCGCAGCACATGGTGCCTGTGGATCTGAGCATGTTACGGGGTTTATTAAACAGAAAAAGTGTTCTTACGAGGACTGTTTTGCACCACTCCCCTCCTGTTCGGGGATCGGACACATCTTACTCGATTTGTATTCTGTCCTGCTGCTCTATCTTTGCATTTCCACAGCAGGTGAGTAGTTCTAGGAGAGGGAAAATCTTATTTTACAATATGACTTACAAAACACTCATAAGAAGAGAAAATATTTGGTAAACAAGCTTCCTGCCTCCTGAATTGAATGTCAGGAGTTAAAAGTGTACAGAGACTTGTCATAAGCCATCCTGACCTGACTGTAGCTGTGATAGCTGCAGTGAGGATAAACAAGGTGAGAACAAGCCTTCTTCATCACCTCTTTGACAGGTAAATGGAAGCCAGGGGTCACCAAAGTGGGATTTAGTCTTTTCTCATTATTTAGTGTCAAACACACCAGTCACAGGGTCATATTATAAATGTCGGGAGACTTTTGCACTTTCTTGCAAGGGAGGGGTCGTTGTTGTAAGAGATCAACTGCTGGGCAGGTGAAGGATGGCAGAAGCAGTAGGTTGTGTTAGGGTATTAAAGTCAAGGACTTGAGCTTTCTGCAGGAGAAAAGGAGACTTGAGCAGAGGAGGTTCATCAGATAGGTGGATCCCAGGGGTTCGGACCCTCTTTTTGGGTTGCTCGTGCTGAGTGATGGTTGTGTGGCTGTTGTGTTGGCTGGTTCTGATCCAAGCGTCTGGTGAAAATGAAAGCTGAGGTTTGGCCATCTCCCTTTTTTCTTTCCCTTTTGCTGTAGACATTGTTCGCAGCGACATTGCCCTGGATAAGCAGAAAGGCTGTAAGATCGCCCAGCATCCTGACATAATGTTGGAGCTACAGAGGGAAAAGGCAGCTCAGATGCACTTGGTTTTGTTAAAGGAGCAGTTTTCAAATACATACAGCAACCTCACATTAACAGGTAAGGCTGCAAGACCAGCTCTGGAACCAGGAGCTGGGGCTAGTTCTTGCTAACTCACAGGTGTGCTAAAACCCTCGGGTGCTTCACCTCTGTATGAATCACCATCTCTCTGGCTGCCTCTGTTTCCTACCAAGATCACTGGGTGCTGGGAGGGAAAGGACCTGCAGGAACCCGTGGTGGACTCGTAAGGCCTCCCGTGGCTGGCACCTCGGCAGGCACTCCAGATTTGGTGCCCCTGGACAGAACGTTTTCTGCAGTCTGACCTAAGCAGAATACCACGGCACGTGAAGTGCTGGAGAAATTTCCCTGCTAACTGTTCACGTCGATGGGGCTGCAGCAATTACTAAATTTGGAGTCCTTTAAGCTGCAGCTGATTTTTTTTTTTCTTTCCAGAGCATGCACTTTGTGTGAACCCAGTAAATATTAAAGAGCAAATATAAAGGGATAATGGCCCAGACAGAGATGAGAGGATACTCTTTTCCTGGCAACTGTTTGTATTATCCAGGGAACAGAATCTCAAAGGATGGAGGAGACTGCCACATTTTGCATACACATTTAATGGTGCTTGTAAAGGACTGATGTCTTCAGGCAGTGAGTGGGCAGAGGGATGGGATCCCAGCAGCCAGCAGTGTCCTTTCGTAGCTGTTCCCCTTATCACTAGAGCTGGATGAGCCACAGACGATGGGAAGGAGGAAGAGACTAATAAATCAAACAAGATCCCTTTCTCCTCTTGCCGGGTCCCTTTCCTGTGGCAGGGAGGCGTCTGATTTTTATGGGAGGGAGGGCCCTGTGCTTTAGCTGGGGAGGAGGTGGCAAGCCCTGTGCTGGCTCTCCCCCGCTGCTGGGCTGGGAGAGGCAGGTAGGTCCTATGCCACCTCCCCCCTTCTGCTGCTGCCCCTAATTCAATGTTCAGCCCCTGCCTTTAAGCCAGCACAGCTCTACGTCCTCGCCAGGGACAGCATGCCCTGGCTCTGGCTCTCCTGGGGACATCGGCTGTGCTGGGGCTCTCGGAGACCCCGCAGAGGTGGGATGGTGATACCAGGGCTGGCATCAGGCTCAGCCCAGGGAGCCGTTGGCACTAGGGCGGTGAGCACGGTTGAATCACGTCATTCTTGAAAGCCCAACATTTAAATGGGATCCTCAGAGCCGTTTCTCATTCTCTGTAACGTAATCCACTTGGCTGTTTATTCCCAGTACAACTGCTGGAATCAACATTGTCAGCTTTTCCCCTGACAACTTGCTTACTTTCCACTAAACAAACTTCCCTCGAGAAGAGAAGCTGCTCTCCCCTATCCTCCTTCCCTCGCTGCTTCAAAAGCTCTCCGGCATTGCTTGCATTTTTTACAGAACCTGCAGAGCAGAGGTGCTACCTGGTTATCAGCTCGGCTCTTAGCCTTTCCAAGTGTGTTTACAGGATAGTTCAGAAGGTTTTAGCTCTAACACTCCAGGGAGGAGAGAGCAATTTCACTGGAATATTACCCAAAGAACTATTTTAATGTCCTTTAACTCCCTCTGAATGTGAGCGGAGCAACTTCATAATTGTTATGAAGTTTAATCTTTTATTTCATGGGCATAGTCTGAGAACGTGGACTCTAGACAGCTAAGCATAATATTTAACTGGAACTCTACTAACTTGTGTAAATATTTCCCTTCTCTGTGATGGATCTGGTGTTTGGGGTGGGCAGAGGGGGTTGTACATCTGTTGCAGAAGGGCATTCCTTACCTTCAAAATTCAGTCAGCCAGAGTTTGCATGAGGACTTCTCTTTGTCTGCAGAGTGTTTTTGTACAGTGCTGTAGGGAGTCCCTAGGTCTGTAGCAAGGTACATGGGGTGAGGTTCAGGAAAAGGATCCAAACCTGGTTTGGGGAGGGATCGTGAAGGACAGAGTTTGCAGGGATGGAGTATCCAGGGGATCTCCGAGACCACAGTTTCCTCCCTGGAGGTCTGTATCGAGTTGTCACTTGGCCTCATGCAGTGCATGTACTGTGGATGATCCTCATTACTCCGTGTCCAACCTAGACTGCGGGAATATTCAACCCCACGACTCTGAGGACTCCTACTGCTGCTAGTTCCTGCAGCACTTTCATTATCCCAAAGAGATGTAAATGGAGTATCTTGCCCAAAGTCATGTGAAAATAAAGGTACTTTATGATGGGATAGCTGCTGTAGGAGAGGTTGGAAGCAGGAATCTTTATTCCTGTGCTACTACCGCTACCATTGTAGTGATTTGGATGAAAAGTCCCCTTCACTTGCTCCTCCTTCCAGACAACATAGTTGTATGAGCAACCTGAAAGACTATAGATCAGGGTTCCCACGCTGTCTGCAAGTGTGGGCAGGTGATATTGCCATCACACTTCCATGCAGTATCCTCATTGCTTTAAGAATGAAAGCTCTTAGATTGCAGGGAGTGTGATTCTGGAGTCCCTGTAGCATCAGTGTAAATCGGAGGCTTTTCCCAACCTATTCACCAGTTGCACGTGGTTCCCAGTGTGCTCCTTATCTCAGTGATCTGGCAGGGTTGTGGTTTTGCACTGGGATTTAAGCTGCTCCCAGCAGCAGGTACCTACAAGGTAAGAGGGTGTCTTAAAATGAAATGTGCGTTTTTTTGTGCTAAGACACAACTGAGACTGAGTGAAACCAGGCAGTCTTTCTGGCTCTCATTCCTCCAGGAACACATGTTAGATTCTGGCTTAGGCCACTTTGCTTTTGTGATTCCCGCTGAATCTGTGGGGTTTGTGAGATGGTGGTCCTGGAGCAGGACATGTCTCGTGGGACTCAGAGTCTGGAGGGGGCTGTGACTCTGCCGTGAGGCTGAGGGGGTCTGTGCAGAGAGCAGGGCACGAGGCTGGCGCCTGGGCTGCCGGGCAGAAAGGCTGCTCTGCTTGGTTTTGCTGGAGTTCTCCCCAGATGTACGGGATTGTCTCTGGTTATCGCTAAATCCATGGGGCTGGAGGGTGGGCCACCTTGTGAACTGGGACCTGGGAGGGTTGTTGCAGGGTAAATGCGGCTGACTTGCCTTTTTGGCACTTTGTTTGGGATCAGCAGCCTAAACATCCCGTGGTCGGCACAGCAGTGGAACGTATCGGAGCTGTTTTACTGGGTGCTCATCGGGGTGGTCTGCACTGCGCTTGCTCTCAGCTTCCCTTCAGGGAGAGTGCTCTCTGGGGCTTTGCTTGGTGAGTGGCTTTTGGATCAGGCTGTCTGCCCTCCTGTCCATCGCAGCCTGTTAGTTATACTCGTTATCCACAGCATTCTACAAAATAGATCTGAAAAGGACCTCAAGAGGGCATCTTCTAGCCTTTTCCGTGACAAATCAGCTGTACCTGGACTCTGCTTGGGGAAAGGTGCATGATGAGGGTCAGTATCTTCTATGTGACCAGCTGACACGGTTGGAAAAACAGGCAAACTCGGGGCGGCTTGAACCCCTTGTTGGGGCTGAAGAACAAAAATCAGCGTTCAAAGATAAACACACAGTGAAAATAATTTCCCGGAGTTTGTCCCACAACTGGGTGCTGGTGGTGGAGAAGTCATGTTAGCCAGGGGAAGACAATAATGTCATCAGCTCCTGTGGAAAGAGAAAGGGAGTGAGAATTGCTGTGAAACACTGGGGGGTTTCCTGTGAGGAAGGGACCAGAAAAAGTGTAATATGTGGTTAAAACAGTATCTGTTCTGAGCCCACAGTTAATGACCACGCAGAGCTGCTGGGTCCATGTTGAGGATGGTTTGCAGGTGTCTTCTGAGACCTCAGGATCCGAACTGAGGGGATGGCGCTGGGAAATATAAACTGTGAAAAACAATCTCTTGTAACTGAGTGGTTTTGTGCCATTATCAGCTGTTTGTATGAGCTCATTCTGAAGCGAAGTGGTTGTTTGTTTTTACTACACAGCTTTCTGAAGGCGTCTGGTGCGTAGCTGAAATATATTGCGTTCCTGGGCATGTCTGTGTAAAGCCAGCAGGTTGCTGGGTCTCAGGGACTGGGCACCGGCACTGCCCAGGTTGTGGGGACACCACTGTTAACTGATTCAAACGATGTGGCTTTATCCTTGTTCTTAAACCTCCTGTGATGGGAGAGATGTACTCTCCTGCAGCCATTGGCTCCAGGGCGTGATTATCTGTATCGTTATGGAGTTGGTGTTTTTAAAATCTCTTGCTTCAATTTAAGCCCGTTATGGCATGTCCTCTCCCCATGGACATGGAGAGCAGCTTATAGCACTCCTTTCCTCTCTGCAGAAATCTTTTACATATTTGAGGCTTGTTATCATGTTTCCCCAAAGACTTTTGTTCTCTGTGCTGAACAACTGTCTGTCTCCTGCTCTTTCCTCCTGGCCATGTTATTTTCAAGTTGAATGACACAAGCATGGTCGATTCTGCCTCTTGAGGTCCCGTTCAGCCCTCTTTAAAATTTTTTGTGGTTCTGTGTTTTGTTGGGGTCCCTGGGGCTCTCTCCACTTGGTCTGGGTTGTTTTTGAAGTGTGTTGCCTTGAAATGAGCCCAGTGTTGTAGCCGAGGCCTTTCTCAACTAAGAGCAGCAGGGTTATTTCATGTATCTCGTGCGTGACACTCCTGTCTGTGTACCCCTGCATAATTATGGATATTTCTTGGTACAGTACTGCTTGTTCATGCCTGCGCTTTTGCGTACCGTTTCCCAACCAGCTGTACATTCCCCATATGGAATTTCATCTAGATTGTATTTTCCTAATTTTCTAATTAAAATGTCATGCGAAACTGGAGGTAAAGCCTTGTGAAAGTAAAGGTATATAACATCTGTTGCCTCTATCTCACACATGAGACCCTTTTGCTCTGTCAAAGAGAAGGCAGGTTGGCTTCACGTGGCAGGACTATTGCTTCCAGCCCTTCCTTGCAGATGGACTGTTACGTGATTTTTCAAAATTTTTTTGTGGAATTGAAGTTATGTTGACTGTCTGCAATTTTCTTGAGTTTTCAACCTGTTGAATATAACCATTATATTTTCACTTTTCCAGTCTTTTGAAAACTCATTT